TTTTTGCTATAGGGCCTGTGCGCTCGCCAGACAGACAGAGAAAGACAGAGAGATAGAAAGCGAGAAATCACCCCCCAGGGGGGAGCTTCTATTTTACTAATACAAGTGGTATTTCACATTCTGGTAACAGGGTCTGAGAATTTGCATTAATCTGTTCTATCCCCTTCACAACAGCCCCAGACCGGGATTTCTGGCCTCATTCAAGTTTCAGCTTATCCATACATCTTGATAGGGAGATGTGCAAATGGATCAACAGAAAATGAATACTCATAATATGTAATTCCTTGAAGTTTCTTCAAGGTAACACTATTGCCCAATGTCTTGGATTTATTAATGATTTGCAACACATGAAGTAAGTTTCCTGGTAGACCCTAATCCTGGCTCCTTCTGCACTTGCATTCTAGTCATTCCTTTTCTATGAGGAATTTCCTCTGTTACCTGACTTGGTTTCCATTTCTTACCCAAAACTTTCCACTAGGAATTCTCTAAGGTAGGGCTATGTTTCCCTTTCTTTTCTTGAAATCTCTTTATTGTCTCCTATCACATAGCTCACCTTATCTGCAGAGTTAGTCACTTGCCTCTACAAGGTTTTTACATGATTCCCTTCTCTTACAGTACCATGGAATTTTAGAGCAAATTAGTAGTGGTGATAGCTATATAAGAATTCCCAAACCTGGACTTTCCTAATTACTTCTCACTGATCTTTCTGTTTCCCTTTTCCCACTACAGGGTCATAACTTCACACTTCAACATAATCGCATCTCATGTTATGAACTGTTTTCCTGTTTTTCTCTAATGCTCAAACCTGTATGAGGATGTAGCTTTAGGAAGTGAAAAACAGGACAAAACAAGAGAGTTAGGAGGTTAGTCTTTACCCAATTTAGTTCTGCTCAAAAGACTTCTTATATCTTTTTCAAGTCTGGGTCTGTGGTATCTTTGTTTTCTTCCCTGTTTGGACAACCTTACATCCAGTTATCCTATGAGTATTTTGGGCAGTTAGCATTTACGAGAGGCACCAAACAAGGGAGGGATGGATAAAAAGATAAATATCCCTGCATTAGATTAGGTCCAATGCTCATCTCCTTTTTGTACTGTTCAATTCTAAACTCACACTCTTGAGGAAACTATCAAGCTAAGATTAAGACTCAATTAATTCTATCACCAAGAAGGTTATATAGGCATATAAACCAATATTTTTCTTCTAAATCACAGTTTTAAACAAAGTCAGTAATTTATGTATATTCTCTCTACTAATCCATCCACATTAGTAGGCACAAACTAAATACAGTCATGCTCAGCATAATAACATTTCACTTGTTGAGAAGCTACATACTTGACAGTCATCCCATGGAGCATATAGTCTCTACCAAATAGCTTCAGTATGTAGTAGGCTATACCATCTAGGTCCGTGTTAAGAATATTCCAGGATGGGGACCAACAGTTAGCGTAATGGCTATGTTGCTAGACTCCCATGTAGTTGACCGCGGTTTGTGTTCCGGACCCCGTGGCTTAAAACTCACGCTGGGCACATGTGTGTGCGTGCCCAAGATCCAGAGAGGAGAAAGGAGGAGAAGGGATTACAGTGTGGCTATCCCCCCTGGGGGGCGATTTCTCACTTTCTGTCTCTCTGTCTCTCTGTCTGTCTGGCAAGCGCACATGCCCTATAGCAAAAACCTTTCAAAAAAAGAAAGAATATTCCAGGATGATCATGCAATGAGGAAATTACCTAATGACACATTTCTCAGAATACAACCCTGTTATTAAGTGAAGCATGACCATATTAAAGAATTGAGTCAATACTGAGTAAGTCCAATGGATTCTCTAGTGTGTTCAGTGGCCTGGAACAAAGCTCCTTTTCTTAACAAAATTTTATGGCTCTGAAATCCTAGATATAAACTAAAGCCCTCTCTTCCAAATCCAGCTGACAGCCCAATTCTTACCATCTCTCTTGGTTAAATAGACACACAGTTCAATAAGAGGAAAAGGAAATCAATATGTTCCAATAAATTGTTCTGGCTATGAGGTCCTGACACTGTTTCTCCTCGGAATCCAGAGCCACCTCAAGGGGTCATAAGGTTTCGGAGCTTTTGAGAAACTCCACTAAAATTATATTTTTAATCCTGGAAATAGAAGATTTGAACTTAAATTTGTCCTCTGAATGACAAGCCTCACCTGTAAGACAAGTGATTCTACATTCGTAATAAATCTAAACTCTTACTATGGGAAATTTGAAATATTAACCACAAGACCTGAATTAAAACCTAAATACACATGATCTAAATGCATGAAGTTCTTAAATTTGATGTTTACTTTCGCATCATTATAAATAATATCTTTTGCAAGTTCCATGCTACATAACTAAATTAAAGGACCATTGAAGTAAAACTGTGTCAGTCACTGGCTGCCCACAAAAGACTGCATAGTTGTATAAAAGCTTTTTAAATGAGGATGTAAGATCAGGATAAACTCATCTAAATATTAAGCTCTGTGTCCAAAAAGGAGACACAATTTAATAGTATAAAAGTACAAGTTACAAAATCATGTTCACAGAGACTGAATCCTAACTCAACCACTTTTGATCAGTATGACTTTCAGCAATGAACTTTTAGATTTTGGGTTTCAGTTCTGACAATTATCTAGGGTTGAATTATACCAACAACAGTATATGCAGTTGTCCTAAGAATTATATGATATCATATCATAAAGCATGTAGCATGGTGCCCAGTGTATAGGAACACTAAATATATGCTTTTGTTAAAAGCATACCCTCAAATGGAGGGTCCAACTTCAGAATGCTCTAAGTGAACTCTTTTCACACTCTTTGTGCAAGCTATCTCATTAATCTGACGCTTTCTCTACTTTCATCATAGAGCTGTGTCTAGCTGGGCCAGAGCTACATTATCCATTACATGCCCTGGATGAGTGGGCCAGTTATTATCGGCTAATAAAAATTCCATTTGAGAATGTGATAAAAAGTGAAGGATACCCTCAATCAGAAAATGCTTATATATACAAAAGTGTACTATAATTTGATAAGAGGGAAAGGACCACAAATCTTATAAAGGCCACATTTGGAACCTATGTGAGGTCTCTTACCTGAGATTGTACTTATGCCTTACACAATGCCCTGAATAGTCTACGGCCTCTCACTAGAAGGCCTCTGAGCTCTGAAACACATTTGGTTACCTGGTTCGGGGCTCTTTGTGGATGCTGGCATTGTAGGAGCAGAAGTAGAAACCCTAGTAGTTGTTGGAGCACTTGTGGTACTGGCTAGAGTTAGAAAGCAACATGGAAGCGAGGATTAGTCAAGCAGTGAGAAACAAGCTCCTCAGGCGGGGACTGAACCCTAGCATGCTGCTATTGTGGGAATATATTTTGTCCTGTCTCCACCAAAACTCCCTGAGGCTTGGCTGCCAGTGAGATGGTGTCTGAGAGATGGTGGGACCGCTAAGAGGTGTTTACACCATGAGGAATCCATCTTCTGGAAGGGATTAATGCCATCTCATCTTGGGGTGGTGAGTTCACACTCTCATGAACTAGATCAGTTGCTTCAAAAAGAGGGTCATTATAAAGCAAGGTGACTCTCGGTCATTCAGGTGGCATGATTATTAACAGAGGCTGAGTTTGAACTCAACCACTTTTTATGTGTATAATTTTCAGCAGTGAACTTTTAGATTTTGGGTTTTGGTTCTCACACAATTATGTAGGGTTGAATTATATTGGCAACAGTATATGCAATTGTTCTAAGGATTAAATGATACCATATTATAAAGCATGTAGCATGCTGCCTGGTGCATAGGAAACAGTAAATATTCACTTTGTTAAAACTGTACACTCAAATGGAGGGTCCAACTTCAGAATGGCCTAAGTGAACTCTTCAAACTCCGAAGTGAACTCTTTTCAAACTCCTTGTGTGAGCCATCACATTAATCTGACACTTTCATTACTTTTTCATCATAAAAGCTGTGTCTAGCTCTGCCTGAGCTACATCATCCCCATTACATGTCCTGGATCAGTGGTCCAGCTATTTTTGGCTAATAATAATCCCTTTGAGAATCTGATAAAAAGTGAAGAGTACCTGGGCATAGTGGCACCCACCCAATGGCAAAAGTGTAAGGTACCCTCACTTAGAAAATGGTTATTTATACCAAAAGTGCATATTATCTGGAGAGAGAGGGAGGATCACAAACCTGGTAAAGGCCATGTTTGGAATCCTGGTGAGGTCTCTTACCCGAGACTGTACCTCTGCCTTACATAATGCTCTTAATGGTCTGCTAGAAGGCCTCTGGGCTCTGAAACACGTTTCGTTACCTGGTTCGGGGCTCTTTGTGGATGCTGGCGTTGTAGGAGCAGTAGTAGAAACCCTAGCAGTTGTTGGAGCACTTGTGGTCCTGGCTAGAGTTAGAAAGCAACATGGAAGCGAGGATTAGTCAAGCAGAGAGAAACAAGTGCCTCAGGTGGGGACTGAACCCAAGCAAGCAGCTATTGTGAGGATATGTTCTGTCCTGTCTCCACCAAAACTCTGAGGATTGGCTGCCAGTGCGATGGTGTTTGAGAGATGGTGGGACCGCTAAGAGGTGTTTACACCCTAAGGAATCCATCTTCTGGACGGGATTAATGCCATCTCATCTTAGGGTGGTGAGTTTTCATTCTCATGGGACTAGATTAGTTGCTTTAAGAGAGAGTCATTATAAAGCAAGGTCATTCTGGGCCAGTCAGGTGGACATGGATATTAACAGAGACTGCATCCTAACTCTACCACTTTTTATCTGTATGACTTTCAGCAATGAACTTTTAGATTTGGGGTTTCAGTTCTCACACAATTAATTATATAGGGTTGAATTATATCAACAACGGTATATGCAATTGTCCTAAGAATTAAATGATGTAATATCTTAAAGGATGTAGCATGGTGCCTGGTACATAGGAACACTAAATATTCACTTTGTTAAAAGCATACCCTCAAATGGAGGGTCCAACTTCATGATGGCCTAAGTGAACTCTTTTCATACTCCTTGTGTGAGCTATCACATTAATCTGACACTTTCTCTACTTTCTAATCATAAAGCTGTGTCTAGCTGGGCCAGAGCTACATCATCCCATTACATCCCCTGGATCAGTGGTCTAGCTCTTTTGGGCTCATAATAACCTTTGAGAATCAGATAAAAAGTGAAGGGTACCCCCACTCAGAAAATGGTTATTTATACCAAAAGCGCATATTATCTGGGGAGAGAGGGAGGATCACAACCTGGTAAAGGTCATGTTTGGAACCCTGGTGAGGTCTCTTACCCGAGACTGTACCTCTGCCTTACATAATGCTCTTAATGGTCTGCTAGAAGGCCTCTGGGCTCTGAAACACGTTTCGTTACCTGGTTCGGGGCTCTTTGTGGATGCTGGCGTTGTAGGAGCAGTAGTAGAAACCCTAGCAGTTGTTGGAGCACTTGTGGTCCTGGCTAGAGTTAGAAAGCAACATGGAAGC